TTGGTTTAATATCCCAAGGATTTGTAGATATTGCCAAGTTTTCAAGCAAGTTCACGAACATTTCTGCCAAAGAAACAGGCAATCAGGCATTGCCAGCTTTTAAAACCACTGTTCGTGGTGAGCACGAGGTTGCTCTAGCGGACAAATTGATGCGAGATCCATATGTCACTGCACGTGTTGAAATGCGATGAAGCCGTATCCTGCGTAAATCTCCCCTGTTCAGGTAACTAGGAATAAGGAGGCTGTGCGTTACGCCATGAATTCTAGCCAAGGAAGAGATATGCTATAATGGCATTTTGTTATATGGCATTGTTACCACCGGACTTAGGCATATATTCCCAAATGCCGGTATGATTTTTTAATCGGGTAGTTCTACGCGACAGTGTAGAGTTGCCTTGAAGTTTGTCTACAAAATTGAGCACTGGGTCAGACCAGTCAACGAATATCGTTCTCGTTTTAGATGGTTGACAATGGATGATATCTATGCGGCAGAACGGTGACAAAAACCCAGTTCACTGTTATGTGGAATTTGCGCACATGCAGCGCTGTCTTGTATCGTTTCTGCTCCTGAGCTACCCAGTTTACCTTATGAACGATGTTGAGGAGCTCTTACTCTTCATATGTACCCCATAAGTATCAAAACAAGTTCGTACACCGGAGTATGTCGAATGTCGCATTAAGCTCCCATGAAAAGTTATCGATTTTTGCGGTTATAGATATGGACTATAAGATCCTGAAACGCTGCTTCTGATGAGCGGGAGTTTGCTCTAGCAGACAAACTAATGCAAGATGCATCCGTCCTGCAGGTCTTAATCTAATGGAGCTGCATCCTACTTCAATCTCCTTCTCCGTAGCGAAGTAGCTAGGAACAAGTGGGCCCTACTATACGCCTTAACATCTGCTCAGGGACGAGATGTGCGGTAATGATATATTTTGGTCATATGCGATTGTTAGGAACTGATTCTCAGGCGTTGATACCAAAATGCGCGGAATCTCTCCTTACCGTGTGGTTCTGTGCGACTGCGTAAAGTTATTGTTCCTAAGTATGTATACAAAATTGAGCACTACGTCAACATCAATGAATATTATTCTCGATTTCAATGAGTGACGATTAATGACATTTATGCCACATAATAGGGACAAATAAGGAGGCCTCTTCTCCATGC